GGCTGGTGGGTTTGAACCACTGACCTTGTGGTTCTCAGTCCAGTGCTTATACAGAGCCACTGCACTACCCTGAATGAGACTTGTTGTTGTTGTTAAGTGCCATCGAGTTGGTTCCGACCCATAGCGACCCTGTACAGGGTTTCTGAGGGTGTAAATCTTTACGGGAGTAGAAAGCCTCATCTTTCTCAACTGTAAAAAGCCAAGAAATGGTTTTCACAGTAATAGAAACATTCCTTAGTAGTTACCAGGGCTAGCAGTGGAAGGGAGGCTAAATTACCAGTTAGACATATGTCAACTGGGGTGAAGAAGGGAATGCGCATTAAGAGGGAGGTTAGCCAGGGAAACACAGTGATAGGAATACAAGAATTAAAGGCAACAGAGGTAAAGAGTGTTAAGTACACAGTCCTGTCTGTGATCAGTCATCTATGAATAGATGCATGGGTAGACACACAGGCTGAACTGGTGTGGGAGGCAGAGTGTAAGTACATCTATGAGTATATAGGTTTTTTTGTTTTTTTTCTTAGCTTTTTTAAAAAACTTTTATTGTGAATTATGTGGTTGTTTACATGGGAGAATATTAGCTTTACATTCATCCTATTGTATATCGTTTCATTTCCGTGGTTACGAGTATATAGGTTTGGCGGAGAATATTTGTACATAAGTATCTGACTTTGCTACACATATATCTATAAATGAGGTGGAACCGACAGGAGGCAAAGTTGCAAAAACTTCTTAGCCATACGCAAACACCTTGAGGGAATGAGTTACTGAGCCTGGTGGTTCTCGAGGGACACCGAGGTGAATTGATATAACATACTTCACAAGACAGTGTTTTGCATCCTACTTTGGTGAGCAGTGACTGACACCTTAAACGCTTGTGAGATCTAAGATGCAACTATTTGTCTCTTGTCCGGAGGAAAGAAGAATGGAGAAAATTTAAGACATGTTGAAATAATTAGTCCAGCGGACCAATGAGTCACGTGAACATCAGTCGTCACAAGCTTGAGACTAGATGGTACCTCGCTACCACTACCAACTGCTTTGAAAGGCATCATTTTAGAAGGGCTTGGATTGAGTGGGAGAAAATGTGGAAGAAAAGTCAAAGTCATAAAGAAGACCAGACTTCTGAGTCAGATAGAGAGCAAAGGAAACCTTCAGACTATCAGGGCTGGAAATGCACTCACTGCTCTGGCAGCCTTTTCAGCCAAACAACAGACAGGTGTAGAAGGTGAACAACAATGCTAAGGAGGTATGCACCCCTTAGAATAGTCAACCATTTGACATCAAAAGGACCACATCTCCCCAGGGACAAAGTTCAGAAGTATTAGGAAAGAAGGAGGAATGAAAACAAGAAACATATGGAGCAACTGGGATAAGCAATGCTACATTGTGGGGACAGCAGCCAATGAGATGGAACACAATGTATATGAATTGTTGAATGAAAAATTGTGCTCCTCTGTAAGTCTTCACCCAATTAATATGAAAAAGTTTAAAAAAAAAAAAGTATATTAACTATAAAAAAAAGGGCAAAGACCAGATGAAGAACTCGAAATCTGTTTGGTTTTGTTTTGTTTCGGTCTGATCATGTCATGGGCATCCATTTGGGCCCAGTTTTCTACGAGGTTTTCTTGACTTTGTTGTTGTTAGGGACATGTCAATTCTGACTCATAGCGATCCTCTGTACAACACTGCTGTTGTTGTTAGGTGGTGTTGTTAGGTGTTGTTGTTAGGTGCTAGCAAGTTCATTTTAACTCCCAGCAACTGTATGAACAGCAGAAGGAAACATGGCCCAGTCCTGCACCCTTCTCATATTAGTTATAATGGTTGAGCCCACTGGTGAACCACTGTTTGTCAGTCCATCTGTGGAAGTTCTTTCTCTTTTTTGCTGACCCTCTATTTTACCAAGCATGGTCTCCATCTCCAGGACATGCTTCCTCCTAATAATATGTCCAAAGTACATCTTCCCTTGTAAGGAGCATTCTGGCTGTACTGCTGCCAAAACAGATTTCAGTCTTCTAATGTTCCTTGATATTCTACATTCTTTTTCACCATGATTCAAAAATACCACCAATTCTGCTTCAGTTTTCCTAATTCATTGTCCAGCTTTCACATTTGTACAAGGTGAGCAAGGTTTGCAGTCCAGTGATTATCCTACAGCACCACACCAGAAGTCCCATGGGCAACATTGTTGTTGCTATTGTTAAGTGCCTTGTAATCAGTTCTGACTCGTAGTGACCCTGTATAGGGTTTCTGAGGATCAGCTGGTGAGTTTAGACTGCTGATGGTGTGGTTTGCAGGCCAGTGCTGATCTTATAGCACCACACCAGGAGTTCAGGACATTACAATCCCCTTAATCTAGCACCAGCTCCTGAAACCACATGAGCCCTGGGCTCTTCCAGCCCAGCTGCTTTCAAAATACTGCTGCACAACAGCAAAGAAGGAGAACTCAAATCGTCTGTACTTTAACTGTCCCCAAGCCCCGCACTTATCCCCCCAAATTACAGGGTCTTCTCTCTCATTTCCTTCCCAGGGAGTGTAGCTTTAGGATGGCTGCCTGCTGTTTCTTCCCCTTCCACACACCCAGCTTTCTTGTTAGTCAAGCTTGGTTGGGTTCGCCACCCTAAATGCAAATTCTCTGGTAAAATCAACTTCAGTGTTTTATTTCATACTCTTACCCCCAAACCCAATTCTAATCTTAAAGTCTTAGAACCCTCTAGGCACAGGATTGCAGAAAGGAGGATGCTCAAGGTCACCCAACAATGAATGATGTGTGTGTGTGAGAGAGAGAGAGTGGGCACCCACGTGAACACAAGCCCACAGGTCCCTCTCTCATGTGGAACTGAATTCTGGCCTTCTTACCATACTAACCACAGGGAGGGACACAGAAGACAGATCTCAAAAAAGATTCACACCATGTGGACAGACTTGCCCTGTAGTAGTAGTTAGTAGATATGTATCGTGGAGTCAGCTCCGACTCATAGCGACCTTGTACAGGGTTTCTGAGGCTGTAAATCTTTATGTGAACAAAAAGCCTCATCTTTCTCCCGTGGAGCAGGTGGTAGTTTCGAACTGCTCACCTTACAGTTCGCAGCCCAATTCGTAACCATCACACTACCAGAGCTCCTTTATAAGACTCTGTTAATCGGTGTCTAGAATCTGCTTACTAACTCTGCCCAGGAAAACAAACTTGAAAGAACTTGGGTCAGGAAGGAAAGCTTCATTCTCCCTCTCCCCCCCACCCCACTTCCCACCCTCAGAAGACTACAGCAGTCTAGAAAACAAGACAAAACATATGGAACCGTAAGAATGGAATTCGATAGTTTTGTGATCAATCTTGGCATAATGAATTAATAACCTAAGTTGGGCATTGCTTGAGACACAACTACCCTTCTGATATTGGTATATAGAAGTATATACCAATATATATATATATAAAGTATTTTTGTACCTGGTTAGTCCTTATATTTTATTTAATTTTGGTGCTGTTGTTGAGAATATTCACAGTAAACCAGATACCAATTTGACCGTTTCGACACATACAATTCATTGACATTGATTACATTCTTATATTTGTAATCAATTACATTCTTCTTATCCCCTTTTTTTCCAAATTGTTCCTCCCCAATTAATAGACATTCACTGCCCCCTAAAGGTCCTAACTATTCTTTTAAGTTTCTCTTGTCAATTTGATTCCATGTAGCTAGTTCTTAAGAGCATAATGCTCAAAGCACACTTTCATTTGTTACTAATTACGCTAAACTATTGTTTGGTTTTAGAGTCCTCGTGTGGTGCTGCAGGTTAATGCGCTGGACTGCAAGGTTAGTTTGAAGCACAAGGTCAGTGGTTCAAGCTCACCAACCACTCTTCAGAAACCCTACACAGGGTAGCTATGAATTCAGCAACACTGTTTATTTCAAGGAGACTTCAGAGGATATTTTTGGTTTAAGGTTTAGAGATCATCTCAGGGCAAAAGTATCAATCTCATAAAATAACTTTTAATGCTCTTGTTAGGAGCACAATTCTGGGCTCATGGTCATTTCTTTATGGTCCAGATCTTCTTTCTAGAGCTGCACTTGGGATATATTCCCTAGAGAGAAACTCTTCTCTCTGAATATCACACTAGACTACCTTGTACAAACAGTAATGTCAGATATACTTTATGGAATAAGTGACTGAACCTGTGAATACTATACCTTAGGGATATTCTCAGAGTTGTTAATAATTTCTAAGAGAGAGTTGTATATTAATTTCCAGCAGTCATCAAAAGATGGATTAAAGGCAATAATGGGTTCATTGACTTCAAGTTTGATCATGATGTGCTGAGGTGTGAAGAACGCCATCTCTTGGTAGGGTTCATTGAAGTCATTGCCGTCCTTTAGGAGATATAAAGTATGGTGGTCACAACACAATAGACTGTTTCAGCTTTACGTGACGTAAGTACCAGAAGAGGAAGCAAAGGGCAACTAGTGCTGTTCATGTTCCTTTGAGTCAATCTACATTATGGTACTCCATGTGTATCAGGGACTCCTGGTGTGGCACTGTAGGATCAGCACTGGACTGTGGGCCACAAGGTTGGCAGTTCAAACCCACCAGCTGCTCCTTGGAAACCGTATCAGGGTTGCTATGAGTGAGAACTGACTCGACAGTACTTGACAACAACGTGTATCAGAGCAAAACTATGCTCCATAGGGTTTTCAACGGTTATTTTTTTTTCTAAGAAGATTGCCAGGTCTTTCTTATGAGGCATGCTGGGTAAACTTGAAGTGCCAAACATATTAATCGTCTGTACAAGCCAGAAACTCTTATCTATTTACTACTTTAGTTGCTGCCATGAATTAGAATCAAATCAAAGGTCACTGGTTTCAATTTGGTTTAAGTATCTCAAGAAAGCTTGCTTTATGTTAAAAGACACTATTTTTAGAAGCTAGTAATCACCTGACTTATGTGCAAGTGGAGAATTTTACTTTGGGGCTTGATTTCTAGCTGAGAGCAGACATTATTAAGGGCTGTAGTGTATCCCCCTGCAAACTCCGTGCTGTCAGTTCTAACCTCTATGCCTGCGGTTATAATTCCATTGGGAAGGGGTTATCTTTGTGTGTCTTGGGCCAATTTCTTTTGAGCTTTAAAAGGGATCAAAGAAGCAAGCAAGCAGGGATGGGGTCAGACTGATGCCAAGACATGTTGATTTCTCCAAGGAACCAAGAACGAGAAGCTAAAGAGGCCAGAACCTTCCTCTAGAACTGACAAGGCAAGCCTTCCCCTGGAGCTGCTCCCCTGCATTCGGACTTCTAGCCTCCTAAACTGTGAGAAAATACATTTCTGTTTGCTAAAGCCCCCCCTCGTGGTATTTCTATTATTGTTGTTAAGTGTCGTTGAGTCGGTTCTGATTCATAGTGACCCTGCATAGGGTTTTCAAGACTGGAGCAGAAAGCCTCATCTTTCTCCCATGGGGTGGCTGCTGGACTCAAACCACCGACCTTGTGGCTCACAGTCCAGTGCTTATCCTACAGAACCACCATACTTCTCACTTACTATATTGTATATTGTGTTATATATTGTTGTTGTTGTTAAGTGCCTTCAAGTCAGTCATGACCCACAGTGACCCTGTATAGGATTTCTGAGGAGCGGCTGATATGCTTGAACTGCTGACCTTGCAGTCTACTGCATTATCCACAGTGTCAACCAGGACTCCATTTACATATTATATTACATATTATAGCAGTACTAATTAGCTTAGGGTAGCGTAGCAGTTACAATTCAGGCTGCTAACCTCAGGGTCAGCAGTTCGAAACTACCAGCTATTCCGTGGGAGAAAGACGAAGCTTTCTGCTCCTGTAAAGATTTATAGCCTCGGAAACTCTGTACAGGGTCACTATGAGTTGGAACAGACTCCATGGCACATGACCATCACCACCAATTAGCTTAGGGGAGTTGGTGCTTCAAGAGCACCAGCCGCTTCTTGGAAACCCTATTCAGGGTTGTTGTGGGTTGGAATCGACTCAACAGCACTTAACAAGAACAACAAGAACAACAATGAACTTGGATGTGATGGAATACCTGATTCACACTAGGTTGTTTCCTCTACATACCTTGTGTATCATGAAAAAGGAAACAAGGTCCTCCATAGACTTCACAACCAACTCTCTAAGCTGCAGTGACATGAAGGATCCAACAGACGCAAAATATTCTTCAATGATACGAGAGGACTCATAATCGTTCCTGGGAGCAAAATGAATCCACTGATCTTTCTGTGAGATAAAAAGCTGAACACAGGCGGGGATCCACCTGAAAAGACAAGAGAACATCCAGCTGAAACTCAAAGGGAACACACGAGCAGGCTTATAAGCTCGCTGGTGACCATGTTAGTGTACTTGTGAGTGGAAGTGGGGGAAAAGAAGTAACGAAGACATGGGCTGAGCTTGATCATGTTCCATGGACGCCTGTCGACCTTAAGATGAGACACAGAAGAGGAAGGGCTGGTTGGTCTGAAGTTTGGGGAGACTTGGGAACCACTGAGCCCATGGACACTGACCTAGCCACTGGGGGCTACAGCTGAGAGTAAACTGTCCAGCTATAAGTCGGCAGTTAACAACAACATTGCCCAGGAAGGCCTAACGGTTTTCAGAGTGAGGGAATGGAAGTGGTACCCTCACCAGGAATGGAAAGGAGAGTTAGAGTGAGGGGTGAAGAGGAACTGGAAAAGAAGAGACACAAAGGCTATCAGGGGACAGAAAATGACATCAGAAGGATGGTGACAAGAAGGGAGTAGAGGGCATGGAGGCAGGAAGCCAACAGACGTTGGGAAAGGCCTCTTTGCCAGGCTGCGGTGAAAGTGGTTTTCCTTTCAGATACTTCTCAGACATCACAGTACCTATCTGAGGCCAGATACTGACTTGGTGAGAAGAATTTGACGTGTGTCCATGCAGTGTTTCTGGATCTCAGCTTGATATTCATGAGGCTGCAGGGGCAATTGTCCTGCCAATAATTCTTCTGTTCGAACAAATCTGAGGTCAGCAAACCTGCCAAAGGAGAGGGAGAAACTTTTTAAGCAATGGGATGTTTAGGAACAAATTCGGCAGGTCAGGTTCAAAAGACGTATGTTTTCATGTTTCGATGAGAGGAGACTGACTATTAAAACTATAAATATCCAGGTGTCTGAGGAAGAAGCAGGTAGTCCAACAGAACTAGTACAAACAGCAGATAAATGTTCATGCTTACATTTTTTGAAAGTTTTTATTGTGAATTGAGTGATAGCTTACATGGGAGAATATTAGCTTTACACTCATCCTATCATATTTCGTTTCATTGCAATGATTATAATCCCCTCCATGCATCATCATTCAACAGTATTTGCTTCTATTCCCTCTGTGGGTTTTTTGTTTTGTTTTGCTTTTTGGATGTACACCAAAACACTTAGGAATATACAATCATTCAACCAACCAAAGGGCTCACTGTGCAAGCCTGCCCCGCAGCCGCCATCATGCTTACGATTGCTAAGTAAAAGAAGTCAGGTACAAAAGATCAGGGACTGTAGAAATAACCAGAATAGGTAAATCCCTGTTGTTGTTAAGTACTGTAGAGTCGGTACTTAACAACAGTTAATACAGCGTTTCCGAGGCTGTAAAGCTTTACAGGAGCAGAAAGCCTGATCTTTCTCCCATGGAACAGCTGGTAGTTTCAAACTGCTGACCTTGATTGGTAACCACTACACTACCTGAGCTCCTTAGGTAAATCCCTAGCAGGGGTAAATGTTCGATGAGGCGCAGGCGATGGATAACAACGGCTAATGGATGCAAAGGGATTTTTGCAGGATGATGAAAATATTCTGGGATGTTTTCACAACTCTGCCTATAACAAATTATACTTTTCAAGGGTGAATTTTATGACATGCAAATTCGATCTCAATTTAAAAAAAACACCAAAAATCAAGAACTTCCACTTCTGTAGGCATGCCTGCAATTTTTGTGACCAATTTTGTGATTGATAAACTGTAGCATAAACATTAGACTGATAACCTAAAGGTTTTGCAGTTGAAACACACAAGCAGCTCCTCCGAAATCCTACAAAGGGGCTGTGAGTCAGAACTCAACAGTGCTCAACAATAACAAACATAAGTGAGAGACCAGTGTTTACGATCCCTTTGTTGGCACTGAGTTATATGAAGGAATAAGACCCACCCCAAAAGCAGCTCACAGTCTAGAGGGAGCAGCGATCAAGCAAGTTTGCAACTATAATTCAGCCACAATGGCGGTTCTATCTAATTATCACACTGTGGTTGCTGTTGTTCAGTGATATTGAGTTGGTTCTGACTCATCGTGACACTGTGTAGGGTTTCCAAGGAGTAGCTGGTGGATTTGAATCACCAATCTCACCATCAGCAGTCCAGTGCTTATCCTACAGCACCACACCAGGATTTCAACTATCACATACTAGTGCCTATTTTATACCAGACACTGTTCAAAGTACTTTGCAAATACTAACTTATTTATTCCTCCTGTCAATCCTATAAGGAGCTCTGGTAGCGTAGTGGTTATGAGTCGGGCGGTAAACCTCAGGGTCAGCAGTTCGAAACTACCTGTGCTTCTGCACGAGAAAAATGAGGCTTTCTGCTCCCGTAATGATTTACAGCCTCGGAAACCCTGTGCAGGGTCGTCAGAACCAACTCCAAGGCACACAACCACCACCACCACCATCAATTCTATGGAGTCCTGGTGTGGCTCTCTAGAGTACGCACTGGGTTACTAGCCAAAAGTTCAGTTCAAATGCATCATCTGCTTCTTGGGAAACTCTACAGGATTGCTATGGTCAGAACTAACTCAATGGCACTTAACAACAATAGCCAATCAATCCTATGGGAACACAATGGTTAGGATAAGCAATAGACTGTGAAGCACAAAGTGGGCAGTTCAAGCCCACCAGCTGCTCCTTGGGGAAAAAGTTGAGGCTTTCTGCTCCCCCAAAGATTCACAGCCTTGGAAACCCTATGCTGGGTCGCTGTGAGTCAGAACTGACTTGATGGTACTTTAACAAGAATAACCACATCAATCCTACAGGAGCCCTGGTGGTGCAGAGGTTAAATGCTCACTTGTTAACCAAAAGGTCAGTGATTCTAAACCACCAGCTGCTTGAGGGAGAATGATGTAAATATTCCGTAAAGATTAACATCCTGTGCAAAATGTACCCTTTGGTTGTCTAAATGATTATATATATATTCCTGAATGCTTTGGTATTCATCGAAAAAACAACAACAACAAATAAAAAACAGAGGGAATAGAAGGAAATGCTGTTGAATGATGACTCACGGAGGAGACTGTAATCATTGCAATGAAATGATGAGTGTAAAACCAATGGTCTCCCATGTAAACTATCACTCAGTTCACAATAAAACCTTAAACCCTATGGGAGAGCTCTACTCTGTCCTATAGGGTTGCATGAGTCAGAACCAGCTCCATGACAACAGGTTTGGATTTGGGTTTGGATATCGGTCCTATGAAGCAGGAATTCTTTGTATCCAAGTTTAAAGCAAGGTACAGAGAGGTGATCTAGCACACCCATCTCATTTAAGAAGTGGCAGGGCTAGAATGTGACTGTGAGCAGGCTACCTCCAAGCCTGTGCCCTTAGTACACTCCAGTGCTGACAGGCAGGCACGGGGACTGGGGTAGCACTGTGGAGATGGGGAGAGTTGTCACATATGATCTTGTGTGTACTTTGATCCAGGACTTTTGAACATTTGATTTCACATCAAGGGCAGACATTCTGTTTCATGCTACTTTCGTGGTGGCCTGCCTTAGAGGCTCCTTTCTGTGTGGGAGAAACAAAGAAAGGGGAAGAAAGGAAAGTGATTCTTACCCTGAAAACCACAGTTCTTTCAGGCTGAGCATCATGGGGTTCACAGAGTGCAGGTGTTCCTCATTCCACTTCTTGGTAGACTTGTAGACACTGTGCCAGGGTACAGGGGCCCGGATCACTCTTTGAGGAAACAAGCGAGGGATGCTATTGATGAAGAGCCTTTTTCTCTCCACTGGGTCCATGAGGATGTAATCGACTATAATCAAGAGACAAACACCCTGTTATGAAGGGGCTTTCAGCGCTACGCAGCCAGAGCTTCAACACTTAGAACAGTATCGCCTTGCCCAATGAGCAAGGTAAGCATGGGTTTACTTGTGGTCTCTGGGAACATTGTGGTTACGAATCAGACTGCGAACCTTAAGGTCAGCAGTTCAAAACTACCAGCTGTTCCGCGGGAGAAAGATGAGGCTTTCTGCTTCCGTAAAGATTTACAGAAACCCTGTGCAGGGTCACTATGAGTCAGTTCCAACTCCATAGCACATAACCACCACAACCACTGCCACTTACTAATCTGTAGTGAATAACTTTTCACTACATCAAAGGCCCTGCTTTGTGGTATGGCTGGCATATGTCTCTCTCCCAACCCCAAGAGGGAGACTGCCTACAGAATCAAAGTGTCTTCTGAAATTTGCAATCCTTTTCAGGGACAGAGTATCCAATAAATAAGGTAAGTGTGGATTAGGCTGTGTTTGGATTAATGCTCTGGACTGCAAGGTCAATTTGATTTGCAAGGTTGGTGGTTGAGCTCACCAGCCGCTCCTCGGAAACCCTATATAGGATTGCTATGGGTCAGAACCAACTTGACGGCACTTAATAACAACAACAATTTACTAATCTGAGGGAGACTTTTCACATGGGCACAAATAAGCAAGTTTTTACCTTGCTTACAGGGTAATCTAGCCCTGTTTAGAATATAATGAGCTGCTATATATGATCACTGTACCAGGTCACTGGGAACAATCTGGGCATCACTAAATTAGGGCAACTCTACTCTGTGGGCCTGCATTTGCTTTATGAAGATATTTCTGGGGAAGGAGGAGGAGTACTGTACAATCTGAGGCTCTCAGAACTTGGGGTAACTTCACAACTGACAACAATTTAGTATCTTCTGATACTTCATTAATCATTCATTGATCTCTCACATCAACGAGTTTTAACTAAAAAAAAATAACACATAACAGTTGACACCAGATGGTTTCAAGTGGGAAATTCCAAACAAAGCTTCACATGACATGGAGAGAAACTTGGCGAAAGCCTCACAGAGGAAGTTGCATTTCAGCTGGGTCATCAAGACTAGGTAGGTGTTTACTAGACAGGAAAAGAAGAGAAGAGCATTGTGGGTAAAAGAAAAGGCATGTAGGAAGGTGTTGCACCGTGACTTTTGTAGGATGTGTTCAAGGAGCTGTGAGCTACTCTTTGACAGAAATACCATATATACACGGTAGAGTTCAAGGTAGTAAGACTGGAGAAATAGGTTAAAGCTACAATTCGAAAGAATGTTTATCTTTAGGAACATAGTTCTTTCCTATAGTAGAAAAGAAGTCTTTAAACTGAGACCATTATAAAATTCATTGTTACTGTTGTTGTTAAGTGCCATTGAGTCGGTTCGAACTCATAGCAACCCTGTATAGAGTTTCCAAGGAGCGTCTGATGAGCTTGAATTGCTGCCCTTCTGATTCAAACCAACCTTGCAGCCCAATGCATTAACCCACATGACTCCATAAAGTGGAGTTATTTTAGGAAAATAAAAATAACTAGACAACTTGATCCACCACTCGTCTGTCAGTCTGTAGTGCTGTGGTGGCTTGTGTGTTGCTGTGACACTTGAAGTCATTCCACAGGTTCAGTGAATAACAGAAGGGCTGCCCATGGGGGACAGGTTTCCGCAGAGCTTCTAGACTAAGACAGACTAGAAAGACAGAAAGGAAGACTAACTTCTGAATTATGAATAGCAGTGAAACATTGTCAGGTACAGTATCAGATGATGAAAACATTATGAATAGCAACAAAATATTGCCAGATACAGTGCTGGAAAATGAGCCCTCTCAGGTTGGAGGGCACTCAAAATAACACTGAGGAAGAGTTGGTTCCTCAATCAAAGTAGAGCTGACCATGATGACTCAAGTAAGACTTTCAAGACCTTCATTTGATGATGGAGCACAATGCAACATGAGGAAAAGCAGCTGCAAACATCCATTAATAATCAGAATGTGGAATGTGTTAAATATGAATCTAGGAAAATTGGAAGTTGTCAAAAATGAAATGGAATGCATAAAGATTGATATCCTGGGCATCAGTGAGCTGAAATGGACTGATGTTGGTCATTTTGAATCTGACAAATGTATGCCATCACATTCATCGTCAGAAAGAACATTTCAAGATCTCTCTTGAAGTACAATGCTGTCTGTGATAGGATAATATCCATACACTATAGAACTACTGATGATGAAATTGAAGAATTCTACCAACTTTTTCAGTCTGAAATTGAGCAAACATGCAATCAAGATGTATTGATAATTGCTGGTGATTGGAATGTGAAAGTTGGAAACAAAGAGGAAGGATCATAATTGGAAAATATGGCCTTGGGATAGAAATTATGCTGAAAATGGCATGATAGAATTTTGTAAGACCAATGACTTTTTCATTGGAAATGCCTTTTAAAAAAATTTTTAAGTTAAATACCTTTTTTATAGTTGCAACCACAAAGGCAAATATGCACATGGACTCACCCGATGAAGTGCACTGGACTGAAACTGACTACATCTATGGGAAGGGGTGGTGGGAAATGTGGGAAAAGCTCCATATCATCAGCTATAACAAGGCCAGGGGCAGACCATCAACTGATAGCATGCAAGTTCACACTGAAGCTGACGAAAATGAAAACAAGTCCATGAGAATCAAAATATACCCTTGAATATGTCCCATCTGAATTTAGAGACCATCTCAAGAACAGAATTGATGTATTAGACTAATGACTGAAGACCAGAAGAGCTGCAGGATGACATCAAGAAAATAAAGTATCATTTAAAAACAAAACAAAACAGAAAAGACTAAAATCGATGTCAGAAGAGACTTTGAAACTTGGCTCTCCAGAGTAGAGATGCTAAAGCAAATGGAATAAATGAGGAGGTCCAAGAGCTGAACAGAAAATTTCTAAGGGCAGATCAAAAAGACAATGTAAAGTATTATAATGAACTGTACATAAAGTATTATAATGAACTGTACCAAGATCAGGAGTTAGAAAGCCAACAGAGAAAAACATGCTCAGCATTTCTCAACCTGAAAAACTTGAA